GGTTCTTACATTTTGGGGGAGGTGGGAATGTAAAAGCCATTCTTAGCTCACAGAGTGTACAAAAGCAGATGGCAGAATTCCACAACCTGGTTTGCCAACTATTTCACCATATCCTCCTATCATTCCATCTCTGCCTGTGCCTCACCCCTCCTATACTTTACTACTCTTTGCCTTCATCAGGGTCTTTCTAGGCCTTCCCCTATCAGTACTTTTTTTTTTCCCTATCAGTACTTTTTAAGGCCATTATCCCCATTCTGACTTCAGTTTCCTTCACCCTTTCCAGTCTGTACTCTATAGTTAGCTATTTCAACTCTATACTGCCTTTTTTTCTCAAATCCCTTTTCCTTTGTCCTTTTGCTGATCATCTCTTGCTAAACCTCACCCTTAGATTATTCTTGCCATAAACCTCCTCTGATCCTAGAGGGTTCTGAACATATCTGATCACATACCATGCTCATCAGATACATTACAGGTTCATGCTATCCATTTAACTGGCCCCTTACTGTAGCAGTAGAGTTCTTATAGTCCTCAATTTCGTCTCTATCTCACACCCTACAAAAGCTATTACAAACCTTTTCTTCCCTTCTTAAGCTTCTAACAAGAATCTTCATACTGCCTTCATTCTCCAATGTTACTGAGAAAATCAAGGCCAATCAGTTTGAGCCTCCGTCTTCTTTTCTCTTCATCTAAAATTCCCATCGTCCCCAATAGATAAAAGGTCAAAGGATGTGAGCAGACAGTTTTCAAAGGAAGAAATCCAAGTTGTCAACAAACTGAAAAAATGCTCAAAGTCACTGAGAGAGAAATGCAAATTAAAATAACTGAGATTACACCTCACACCCATCTGATTGGCAAAGGCAGCAGAAAGGTAAAAGGACAATTGCAGGGCCTTGGTGAAAACTAACACTCCATGCACTGTTGTAGCTGTGAATAGGTCGAGCCATCCTGGAAAGCAATTTGGAACTAGGCTTAAAAAGTCACTAAATTGTGCCTGTCTTTTGACCCAGTGATATCAATCACTAGTAGGCTTATATCCCAAGAGATCCAAGAAAGATACAAAGGTCCCATATATACAAAATTACTTATAGTAGCACTCTGTTATAGCAAAGGAAGTGGAAAATAGAGTGTCCATCAGTTGGGGAATAGCTGAACGATTATGGTGTATGAATGGAATGGGATATTATTGCCCTATTAAAAATGAGCATAAGGAGGGCAGCTAAGTGGATATTTGGACTCCTCCTGGAGTCAGGAGGACCTAAGTTCAAATCCGGCCTCAGACATATAGCTGTGTGACTCTGGGCAAGTCACTTAACCCCAATTGTGTCACCAAAAAAAAACAAACAAACAAAACTCAAGACTAAAAATGAGCATAAGGATGGGAAGATATGAATGAATCAATACAGAGTGCAGTGACCAAATCCAGGAGAACTATTTATGTAATAAACAACATCATAAAGACAAACCACTTTAAAAGTGTTAGATTGTTGAATGAACATCTAGAGAAAGATTGAAGCATACGGCCACCTCCTGACAGGGAGTGATGAATTCAAGTTGCAGAATGACACTTAGTTTTGGATCTAGACAGTGTGGGAATTTTCACCTAATTTATGTGTATTTGTTTAAAAGGGTTTTTCTCAATTTGGGAGTGTGGGGAGAGAAAGAAAAACTTAAGGATGATATGGTTGCCCCCAAAAAAGGGTCGTTGAAACATGTTTTTTAAATGCACAGAAGAAAACAGAAGGCCAGAAGGAATCAGATAGACAGGATGCTTTGTTTTTTGTTTTTTTTTTTTCTTCAAACAGAACACTTTGAAAAAAAGTGTTGCGTTTATGTATTTAAAAAGAAAAGCAAGCTGTACGTAATAAGAGATTCATAGTTTCGAGTATAGCTATCTCTTTCTTTTCTGTATATGTGGAAGGGTTCATTTTAGTTGATTTTTTGTTAAGTCCAGAATTTTTTAAAAAGTAAAAATAAAAATCCCTTGGTATTAACCTCTACTCTGTCCTCCATTACTCTAGTCTCTAACAAAGGCAGCAGCTGTCCTTGCCAAGGCCAACCCCAGCCCTTCCACATATGTGTCTTGATTCCATCCCCTCTAGTCTTCTCTGGCAGGCTGCATCTTCAACCATTTTCCCCACCTCTTGAATCTTCAACCTTTTACTAAATTTACTGTTTTTTTTTCCATACCACCTTCAAACATTCCCAAATCTCCCATCCTTAAAAAATCTTAATGAGACCCTACCATCATCCCCTCAAGCCATATTCCTATCTTTCCTCCCTTTCTCAGCAAAGCTCCCAGAAAAGCTTGTCTACACTTGCTGCTTTCACTTCCTATAACTTTTCTTTCATTTCTACTTGCAAATTGGTTTCCAACTTCACACAGCTGAGAGTTCTGCCCTCAGAGTTAACCAGCCATCTCCTAATTGCCAAAACTGATGGTCTTTTTCTCAGTCTTCATCCTTCTTGACCTATTTGCTGTGTATTTTACATTGATGACCACTCTTTTCCAACCCTGTATATATACAAACATCCCTTTAGCATCTCCTTTACTGACTGTTCATATCACATTACCTAAATGTGGGTGTTCCCCAAGGTCAACTTTATTGATAGTCAACAAGTTATTTCTTAAACCCTTACAATGTACCTGGCACTGTGCTGGGCACTGTTGAGTGACTAGACCTAGGAGAAGTGCCCACTTCAGGATTCTGGGAGGCAGAGGATAAAGTGAGCGAGGTAGCTGTCAGGGGTCCAGGACAGTTTTGTTTTGTCTTTTGAATCAGAAGCAAAGGAGGGTAAACCTGGAACCCAGGCCTGGGAGTTGTGGGCATCATCCCACTATCCAAGGCTGGGGGTGGGAGGGAAGTAAAGTGAAATTGTGCTTTTATGTTACGTCCTCTGTAAATAGGACATCAGGAGATGTATGCACAACTTCTGACACCAGTTTTGCCACTTAACCATGGACCAGTTCCTTTGCTCTGGGTCTCAGTTCCCCCATTTGTAAACTATTGGAGGTCCAGTGACCTGTCCAGCACAGATCGGCTTGTGGGATCTCTGGTTTCCTTTTTTAAACCTTAAGGTCCCTGGGAAAGAAGCTGTTAACATGGGATAATAAAAGAGAAAAAGTTTCAGGGAGGATTTTTTTTTCCTAGTCTCCACACAAACTTTGGGGTGACATAGGACAGCTTTTTTCTTAAGGGAATGAATCGATCAATTAACTTCTGGAAATTGGGCACTCTTGTGAAAATTGTCTGTGCAGAATACAAGAGGGGCACTTAAAAACATCTGCTGATGGTAATAGGAAGCCTGGGGATCTTTAGCCTGGAGGAAAGCATGAGGGGGACCATTGTCATTGTCTTTAATATATGAAAAGCTGTCCTGAGGAAAAGGGATTAGATTGCCTTGCACTGGGATTGCCCATCCCCTGGGCTCAGAATGCTCTCCTTCCTGATTATTTCCTAGCAAAGGGTCCTCAGCTTCCTTCAAAGCTCAGTTCTTATATCACATCCTTTAGCTAGAAGGGCTTCTTAACCTGGGGTCCGTGAATTTTTTCCCTATATTTTGATAACTGTATTTCAATATAATTGGTTTCCTTTGTCATCTCATGTATTTTATTTTCTACATTTTAAAACTTTTTTTTCCTTGATTAGGGTCATGGGCTTCACCAAACTGCCAAGGAGGAATTCATGATACAAAAAAAAAGTTAAGAATCCCTCTTTAGGACTGCAGCCCCCTAGCTGCTCCAGAAATGACTGTAAATCTTTTGTGTTTAATGTGCTATGTACATAGAACACAAGCAGCTAGAGGGCTGCTTTTTTTTTGTTTCTGTATTGCCTTCCAGGTGCCTGCAGAGTCACTGGCAAGTAGTAGGTTCCTAATAATGCTTGTTGAATTGAATTGTTTTGCTTGTCCCCAGAGATTAAGCACTAGGCTTGCAAGGGGTGGAAAGTTGTTGGGAGGTAATTTTTTCAGGTCACTTCAAGGGAAAACTTCCTAGCAATTAGAGCTTTATAGGAATAGTCTGCTTTAAGAGATATCCAAGTCCCCATTGCTAGAGGTCTTTTTTCAGACAGAGACTGAAACACCACTTGTTGGGGAATGCTCTGGAGGAGATATTTCTTTGTGTATCAGTTGGACTAACTGCTTTCTGAAATTCCAACTCTCTTGAAATTCCATCCATCTGGGAGGCACCTGAATAATGGTCCCTTTGGCTTTCACCAAGTGCATTCACTGGCTTCCCTCTTGTCCAGGGGGCCAGGTGCATACACTAGAACTCTGAAGACCAGACCTTAGTTAAGGGGTTGGAGTAGTTGGAAAAAGAGGCATATGAACTGGGCTTTAAAAGAATGGGTAACAGTTGTGGACGAGTAGGAAAGAGATTCTGAGAGGAGGCACTGAAATCTTCTTTTTCCAGCTAAGTTTTAAGTTTTTTCAGTCTTGATGGGTGGATTCTTAAATTTGGAACAAATAGGATCTTGGGGCTGGTTTGGACCTTAGAGATTGTCCTCTTCACATTTACAGATGGAGAAATGTTGTCTCATTTTATCTTCACAACAGCCCTGAGAGAGGTAGGTGCTATTGTTCCCATTTTTACAGATGAAGAAACTGAGTCAGACAGCAATTCAGTGACTTGCCTAAGGTGACAGTGTCTTAAGGATGGATTTGAACTCCAGATTCAATGCTTTATCCACTGTATTACCTCATTACCTCTATCTCATGAAGCTAGTATGGGTGTCAGATGTTGTATGGGTATCCTATCCCAAAAGAATCAGGGATGGTTATATTTTTCTTTGTCTCTCCAGAACCTAATTCAGTGTCTGGCACCATCAGTCCTCAATGAATACTTGTTGATTGATTTTCATATATAAAGTCCTTTTTAAATTGTAAAGTACTGTAAAAAAAAAAAATGACAGGTGTCTCTACAACTTCATCTATTCCAGACTCCACTTTATCCCCTCAGTGAGACTAGATGATTGAGTACTATTCTTTTTGTGTCATTTCAGATTTGCAACTGGTTCATCAATGCGCGACGGCGGCTCCTCCCCGATATGCTGAGGAAGGATGGCAAGGACCCCAACCGTTATACCATTTCCCGCCGTGGTGGCAAAGCATCTGATGTGGCCGTGCCAAGGGGTTCAAGTCCCACCCTGATGGCACCAGGGCCCACTCAGGCCCCCTCCAAAGTGCTGTCACTGTCTGTATGCTCCTCCGCACTCTGTTCCTCTGCATCCCCAGTGAGGGCTCACCTCCCTGGCCCTGGGGCTGAGAATGAAAGTCCACCACCCCCTTCTTTGGTTAGTGGGGAGCCACAGCCCCTTCCGGGCCCTGGCAGCACACTCACCCTGCTGGCCAGGGCACAGGCTGGAAGCCCAACCAGTGGACTGTTTAACACACCACCTCCCACGCCCCCAGAGCACTATGGAGATGACTTTAGCAGTTTCCAATTGCTGGTGGAGGTGGCCCTACAGAAAGCAGCTGAGCTCGAGTCACAGAAAAAAGATCTATTTCCTCCTTCGTGGCATGCCGAGCTTCCGTTGGTAGCCAATAACCCTAAGTAGCGCTTGAAAGGGCCTTCAGGACTTGGTAGAAGACAGTTGCTCCTCTTTGTTATTTTACTGTTGTTCATTGTGTTGTTTGGGGTCTTTCCTTTTACTTTTCGGGGTCTCTCCCACCTGTTGGGATTGCCCTTTCTGCCCAGACAGGTTCTCCCAGTGGGAACACTTGGGTGTTGCACACTGTGACCTAAGACCTCCTCTTATCTCTGACCTGCTCCACTCCCAACAGAGGGGTCCTCTGCAGGCTAGGAGAGTTGGACTAAGAAATCTGAGACACGTGTTGAGGTCATCTCCTGCACCTCTGACTCTGGGAACATGATGCTTCTATCTCCAAGAATTCCCATTTTGTCATACATTCTGCCCTTGGGCACCCTACTGACTGCTTCAGCCTAGTTTCTTCCTAAACCCATTCCACCCAACAGGACCATGTACAGGGTCTAGATTATCCTATTTCCAGCCCCTTTTTCATCTCTACTGACTAAGGCCTATTGAAGTGGCAAGACTACAGAGATCCAAACAAAGAAAGGAAAACACTGTCTTGGGGAGACCAGTAACCAGGTTCAGGAAAAAAAAAATATCCAAAGGGGTTTTTTGTTTTGGGGGGAAAAAAACTTGCGTTTTTTGTTTTTTGTTTTTGCTTCTGTGTCTTTGCCGAGACAAAGGTTTACAAGACCTAGTAGATAGCTGGAGTAATCCAAATGACATGAGGCTGTGGAGTTGGTGAATGTTGTTTAGCCTTTCTTCTTGGCAAGAAGGGATAAAGGATCTCTTGAGATGGGGGACTTTTCAAAATTTAAATTTAAAAAAAAAATACCTTGACTTTTAAGGTAGTCATTGTCCTGGAAACCTGGGCTAAAGTGGAACATGTTGCTTTCCCCCACCCCAAAAAAAATCCTGGGCCATCTAGTAGTTGGTCCGGTTATACTCCCTAATGCTTTCTTTTGAATCAGTTTGGTCAGTTTCTCCCACTACCCACTGCAGTTCTGGCTGATCAGATCAGTGGAACTTGGGGAGCAGGAGGTTGGGCAGAAGATGGAGGTTAAATTTGGAAATTATATGGTAGAGTGGTTACAGATAGGTGTTGTACCTTTTCTTCTGAATTCTAGCTGCAGGGGCTTTGGCCTTCTGAGCACCTCTGAAATAGGTCACTGTTAGTCTTACTGATTTCCTCCCCTCCCCTCATTTTGATTTTTTTTTTTTTAATATTGCTATTTCATGGTTTACTATGTTAAATAGCAATAGGTACCAGCTTATATGTATCGAAAAACACTAATCCTAGGTTTAGACTGAGTATTCTTTTGTATGAATAATATTGTCAGTAGAAGAAGATGGGAGGGAGCACTTCTCAGCCCACTGTACATTAGATGGATGGGGTGATTGTGTGGAGTGAGATTCTGAGGAGCAGGGAGGGAAGAGACCCCGTAGAGTCCCCCTGTTTCTCCTACTTCTTGAGCCAGACTTCCCCCTCCCATCCCCCATCCATTCCTTGTCTCTTTCCCAAACCCAGTTTCTAGCTTGGCTCTGATCTCTAAGCCTGGATTAAGTTTAAATAAGATCGCAGAACTCCAGTGCTGGGGCCACTGAGAAAGGCTGTTGGCAAGGGGAGAGGGAGAATGGCTTCCACAGTGCACTGTGCAATGGGGGTTGGGAGTCATGCTGCTGGACCCTATTAGTCATCTCTTGGGATGATGGGGGAGGCTGTGGGTTGGGTAAGTTGGACTGTGTCTGGGTTTGATTCTATGTCTAAAGTGTGAGGGAGAGAAACAGCTCTCTAATTGAACTGAACAAAAAAAAAAAGCTACTGTAAATAACTTGGGAAAAAAATTTTTTGTCAAATAAAAGATTTTTTTTAAAAACACAAACTGAACCAGGGAGCCTGAGTCTTGTCATGTTGGGCTATATAACTCCCAGTATTAGAGGATACTTCTGTGTTCTCTCCACCTTAACCTGGATAGTGAAAGATAATGTTTTAATAATCATTGCTTATTTATATATCATTTTAGGGTTTACATAGTGCTTTACACAAATCTTATTTGAACATCTCCACATTATATTGGTTAGGCCCACAAGGAGACATTTGTCTCCTGGTTCCTCAACTAAAGACTTGAGACTGAGGCAGAAAAGTGGTCACAGAATCTCAAATGGAGAAGAGACTTTGAGGTATCATCTAGTCTTAACTTCATACCTAAGAAAGAATGTCCCTTAACATAAGCTTGACTAGCATATGTTAGTCCTTCTCTGGAGACCTCCAAGGCAGAAACTCACTGTCTCTCAGGGTAGCACGTTGCTCTAATTTAAAAAAAAAAAAAGTAGTGCTTTATGGTTTACCAAGAGCCTGCTTCACAATAACCCTGAAAAGAGTTGCATATTTAGGGTTTCGTAAACTTAGGTTGAAGGTTAAGTGTCTGGTTCATGGTCATACACCTAAAAAGCTATAGAGTGGGGCTTTCAATCTGAATTCCTGACTCCAGATCTTTGCCTGTGTGGTTTTGTTTTGTTTTGGAATTAGGGCTGTGACTTGAGATCCTCAGCCTCCTCTCTAGAGATACTGAGGGGGCTCAGCTCATTGCCCAGGGTGGTGCCACAACTGTCAGCACCAGTCTTCCAGAATGGGAGGCCGCTTCTATTTGCTAAGCCGCACTCTGTCATCCTTCTTTGTTCAGACCTGTGATTTCATTGATGCCCATGGTGTAGATAGCTCACGTTTACTACACTGAGAAGACAAATGCCTCACTCACCTTAGTGAGTCAGCCTTCCCACCAGCCCTCCCCACCTTTCCAATAACCTCATTCCCTCTTCCATTTGACGGCTTCTCCAGTATGTGGCGACACCAATAATACCCTGTTACCATCCCCACCTCCCTTCCTTTAACCTTTAATATATTCCCCAGGATGTGTGGGGTGGGGACATGAGACCTGGGTTTTAGCATTTTCTTTTGATTCCCTGTGTTATATAGATAAAAGGATTTTTCCTCTTGTCCCTAGTTTTTTTTTTAACTGACAAAACCCAAAATGTATTTAAAGAAATACCACATCTAAACATCTCGATACACATGATAAGAAATGTAAGAACTAAAAGTTAGGGTATAAAATTGTGATGTATAGAAAGTTCAAGAGACAGTTTCTGGGTAATCATGTTATTAACTATGCTGGCAATAATTAATAAAAGGGGTCAGTGAGGCTCTGCAGTGCCAGCGAGCCCTCATGGGGTCCGCTCCAGTCCTTGGAAGGGCGGGTGCTCCGGAAGGCTTGTCCCCAGGTTCTTTTATACAACTTAAGTGGGGGGGCGGGGGGCAGGTGGATTGGATGACCTCTCAGCTTCCACGGTCCACTTTGTTTCCCGGCTTTGCCACTCACTGCCTCAGTGACCGTGGGCCGCTTACCTCTCCGGGCTAGTTTACTCATCTCTAAAACGAGGTTGGACTCTTATTTTCTGTCAAATACTTCCCACCTCTGAGGGGTTTCTCTAGACTCCTGGCGGGCAGGGCAGGCGAGTACGGAAGCCAGATTCAGGGGTGGGGGCTGAGTTTGAGGAGAACGGTTTACACACGGCAGGCGCCTAGGCCCGAACGGAATCTGACCTCAACTAGCTTGTCCCATCCGTCCTCTCACTGGTCTCGTCTTCAAATTGGCCCTTTCTTCTTCCCGTAGCGCAGAAATCCACCCCAAGTGGCGTCTGTCACGTGAGCCATTCTCACGCCTTAGGCGAGGGAGGGGGAACGGGAAAGGGAGAGGCGGAGCCATCCTCACGCGGTGGCGCGTCCTGGTCCCTGATTGGCTGCGTTTGCACGCCAGCAGGAGGACGCTAGGCCTGCTCTCCGCCCTTCTCGCATTTGATCCCCCCCTCCCTCCCCAACCCCCACCTCGTTTAAGATCGGGCGTACAGCCTGCTTAGTTGAAGGGCGGCTGGACCCGGAGCCGGCTGGCCGAGGGCGGGCTTTTGGGCGCTGTGAGAGGGAGGCTCTGCTCCCTGGCTCCAGGCCCAGCCCAGCGGTAGGACAGAAGGACGGACGGACTGACGGAAGGACGGCCTGGGGGAGGATGAGCGGCGGGAGGCGGAAAGAGGAGCCGCCGCAGCCGCACCTGGCCAACGGCGCCCCGAAGGGCTCGGCCTGGAGCAAAGCGCTGCGGAGCGACGCGGCCTGGGAGGACAAGGTGCGGGGCTGGCGGGGAGGGGGCCCCGGGGGAGTACGTGTGTGCGCGCCTGGGGGGGGGAACCTGTCACACCGGGCTAGGGACGCGTGTGCGTGTGTGCTCACACGTGAGTGAGGAGTGGTCTGTCACCCCGGTGCCAAGGGCTGAAAGCCTGTGTGGTGCGTGCGTGTGCGTGTGTGGGGGGGGGCCTATCATCCTGAGGGAGAGTGGAAGAGCCCACGTGCGGGTGTGCGGGTGCCGTGTGTGCAGCAGGACTTGTCTCCCTTTTGCAGGGAGTTAATGTGTATTTGTGAGGGTAGGGGGGAAGGATAGCACGGTGCACATGCGGGTGTGCTGCTGACCTGTCTGTCACCCTAGGGCAGAGGTCGAAAGCGTGTGTGTGCCTGTTTGTGAGATGACCTGTCACCCTGCTGAAAAGGTATAGGGAATTTTTTTTTTTTTTATATTTACTGGGGGCGGGGTGGGGAAGGTTCTCAGGGCCTCAGTTTCCCCATTTGCCACATGAGGTAAGGCTGGTTGAGTGTGCTTGATAATTTATTATAGCTAGCAATTAATGATCAATAGTATTTATATAGGTAAAGTTTTTAAAGTTCTTTACAAAGATTATTTCGTTTTATCCTCACAACACCCCCCAAGAGGTAGATGCTATTATTATCCTCATTTCACAGATGAGAAAACTTAGGCAAACAGATAAGTGACTTGCTAAAGGTCACACATTTAGGAAGTGAATAACTTTGAAAAGAGATAGTGAGGGAGATTATGCATTCTAAAATGAGGGGAATATTAAGTGGCCTCTGAGATTTCTTAAAACTCTCAATCTTTTATCCTGTGCTGTGTTGTATGAATGAGGGGGAGGGGGATGAGAAGACCTGTTACATGACAAGGCAAATGTGAGCGTGTTTACATGTGTCAACGTGTTCACAGAATTTCAGAGTTAGAAGTGACCAAATCGTCATCTAGCCCTGCTTGAAGACTTCTCTTTCCCTACCAATCAGTTCCACTTTTGGACGGCACTAATCATTAGAGGGTTTTAAGACGAAAGTTGTCTACAATTTCCAACTACTGCTCCTGGTTCAGCCCTTTGAGGGGCAGGAAACAACAAATAAAATAAATATAACCTCTCTTTTCTTGAACAACAGCTATCTGTGCTCCCCCTCAGTTATTTCACCTTTAGGTAGAAAGAAATCCCTAGTTCCTTCAGTTTACCCTCATATGTCATGAACTTGAGACCCATCACCATCTTGTTGGTTCCTCTCCTCTGGACACTCTAGTTTATCAATGCCTTTAAACTATACCATCTATAACGGAATAGAATACCCTAGAAGAGGGCATGAATGAAAGAGACTTAAGGACCTTGTTGGGAGACATATGAGAGTGTGATTGGACATATGAGAGGTAAAATTCCATCGGTTTTTAAAGCATTAGATAGAAGACCAGTTATGAGGAGTTGTGTTTATGAGGGAGGGGAAACTGGAAAAGGAGACTGTTACTCTGGTACTAAGTGACAATAAGGAGTTATGTCACACCTACTGTCCATGAATGTGTGAAAGATAGTATATGTGTGGGAAGACTTGGGAGTGTGGGTTGTAGATTGAGAATATGAGGAGGGATTCCCTAGGGAGCTGTGTGTGAGAGGAGATGCAG